TTCGTGATCAGCAACTCTCACTCTATCAAATGATGTAAAAAAACGCCAAAAAAACATTTTTACTTGAATTTCGCATTGCCTGCACCTTATAAAAACTTCTAGTCATTATTCTGCCTACAAGAATTACAAATTGCAATGTTGATGATCTTTTTTATTCGAAAGTTAAACTAGCTTGTCATCATGACGAACATTTATTGTGTCAGGTCGGATGAAAAGAAGAAATGGCTATTATCTAATTAATTTGTTTCACTTGAAACTGACAGAGTGTCACCTAAACTCATATTATTTAGTAAAGAATGTTTACTGCTTTTACTAGAAAGCTAAAGATGGATGAGTTTCCAGGATAATATAAAAACTTTTCTTTTCTTACTTTGTCCCATAATCTATTGACGTGTGCATAAAAGGAAAATGACAATATCAAAATAAAGGAAAATGTAAGCGGTACCTTTGATCTCTATAGTTGAACTATATTTTCTCATTTCTTGCTTATACTGTGTAGAATTGCCATTTAGGGTGATTTTTCTTGTGCAACTAAGCAACAAAAGAGAACTATACTAACTCAATGTTCACTCAAAAAACCAAGAGAAGCCTACTTATACACTCTAAAAAAGCTTTCAATTATCAAGAATTATGCTAGACATTGGGTTCTCTTCGAAAAAATTGCTCCAGTTCAGAATAAAAAATGCAAGTAGAAAAAACGTACCAAATTAACAAAGCTTTTATCTTTTCGCCTTTCCTGTAATTTGCTTAGTTTCCTTGATTGAAGTTCTAAAATTAAAGTTCAGGTATGATTTAGAGAATTTCACGCCGCGCCTATTAGAAGAAGAATTTGCTTTAGGGGCCTAATAAACAGGAGTCAGAGTAAAATTACCGAGACCGAGATTATTTATCGTACTCCCGTTATATCCGAAATGTTTCGAACTTTATAACTTTCTTACTATATGAATAGCGGGGTCGGTCAATAGTCATTTTGAAGAGCGTGTTTTACTTGGTCCAAACTAGACAAAAGTTGGTTCAAATAGAGCTTGACAAGCTCAACAAAATGCTGTATTTTCCTTCTCAGAACAAACAATGGTTTACAAGAAAAATTTCAAAACTATTTTGTTTCCCTTGACTGGAAATCTTGGGTCATACAAACGAAATGAACGTCCGTCCGCAGTAGAGTAGTGACACCTGACATAAGTTAAACATAAATTAGCGACATATTCATATTCGAGGAAGAAAAACACTTAATTATTACTTGTCACAGCAGCGAGACATTCTAGAGGTGCGAGTCATGAGTAAAAAATGTCAGAAATTAAATTTCACATACTTTATCTGCTTGCACTAGTTTTGTTAATTAGCGAGAAAAACGCTATGTTTTGATAATTAGCATTTTTTACCGTGAAGCAAGCATCTGACAAAGGCGACTACAAGGTTTTGACCACAGAAAGGGATATATGTAGGTTTGTAGAAGAAGACTTTCTCTATCCAGTGTTGTATACATTATCAAATTCTGTTGCATACCGTGAGCGAAAAATGAAGGTGCCTCTCTGCACACACACACACCCCTAAATTACAATCCTACCTATATTAGCAAGAATTTGCATTTAGGTAGAGAGAGTGCCCACGCGGCCCGGTAGTTTTGGCAGGAAGATCCAGAATCCGAGAAGTCCACCAGAATTTCTTAAAAGCATGAGAGGGCGCGCTCACCACGCCGTTCGGTGCGGACTCGACAAGGAATTTCCAACTGACAGAAAATCAAAAAGGAATTTCTACTTTCTTGGGAATTATTTATAGTAATTCAACGTCGATTTTCTATAAAGTGCAAATTCCTTGGCGAATTTTCAGCAGTCTTAAAATTATTTATGAAAATTCGAGGGGGATTTGCAGTCTATAGAAAGTCGAAGTCGAATTTCCATAAGTAAATCCTAAAACACTGGAGACTTGGCGAGATATTTCTATAAATGGAAAATTCCGACTTTCTATAAACTAGAAAATGCTCGAGGAATTCATACATGGACTTTTTGAAATTCCCTATAAATAATTTCCAACTTTACAGTGTAGCTCAGCAGGAAAACTTGGAAAATCGTGGAATGGAAAAAAATTGAAAAATCTATAAGTTATTTTGTAAAGAAGCTAACTTACAGATAGACGGAGCACAGTAGGCGTTCTGGTGGATATTTTCGTATTCACTTCACAGGTATGAATTTTAAATTTTGCAATTTTGCTTTACTTTTTTCATCGGTCGCAATAAATGCACGACACCATTCTTGATATAAACTTAATAAATTTAAATAGTTCTCTTTAGTGATTTCGTTAATATTTGAAAAACGTTGGGAAACTTTTTGTATACATTGTATTATTGTTTCTAATTCTGGTTGATCACATATTTCGAATCGTGTCAAAATATTCAAATCTAATAATGTTAGTTTATCAGGTAAAACACCATTTTCTGTCCAGCATAAATCTGCTTTTGTCTGTTTGCATGCCTTTTGCGTAGCTATCAAATGTGGACGTATAGGCATTATATGCATTAGCTTCTCGCTGATACTATTAGGAATGAATTTAATCAGACTTGCTTCTTTTAAAAAATTTCCTGAAAATTCGTTGGTTTTTCTCATAATTTCAAATGCTGCATGAATACCATCTTCATTATTCATGTTCCTCTTGTTCAACTCAAGCATAGTAAACAATGCATTTTTTTCGTTTATTTTATTTTGTAATCCAATAAACAGCAAAATTATTCGTAAATTTTATGATTTGATCAAACAAGGTGTCTGGTAGTGTTTTTTCGAAAAACTCTTCTGGCTTTGCATTTCCAAAAACACTAAAACGCGCTTCTGAACTAACAGTAAAAGGTAGCAATGCTTTTGGTCTTTCATCATCCGCTTCCGTGACTAGATACCATTTTTAACATTAAAACTGAGAGCGATGCAATAAATAGATTTGTCAGACATAAAAAATCGGAAAACCGATTGAGATAACAATGTCACAGATTGACTTGGCTAAAGTTAAGTGGGTTTCATGTGAAGTGAAGGGGCAAAGTGGTGCTTTACCTGATAAACTAACATTATTAGATTTGAATATTTTGAC